CATATGGCGGTGTATGGTTCCATGTTTCAGCAGAAGATTCATTCTACTAATGTTATATGCATTTGGTGAGTGGTGGAGGGAGACCCTGAGAATCTCGTGGAGACACGAACAAGTTCTTGCTAACCTGTTCACCCATAGCTGCCGAGCTACAGCCCTGAACTCGAATCCACGGCATATATTGATGGTCTGCCCTGCTGTTTCTCATATATGACGAGGCCACCCTTCTCATTGAAGCAGCGGTCCTCAATGGCTCGACATTAGTCACATGAGCCATTTGAAGTAGCGGCCCTCAGCGGCCCTCATTGAATGAAAAGCGGACCTGTCTTTTTTTTTTTTTTTTGTTCTACGATTCCAGTGCACAGCGCACTGTGCCCCGCACACCCAGCGCGGCACCCCCGCCCCTGCCCCGACCCCACACCCCCGCCCCCGCTGCCAGCCAACCCCGGCCCCGCACCCCGCTCCCGCGCCTGCACTACATGGGGGTGGGGTGTAGCCCCGAGGGGGGCCCGAGGTAGGGCCAAAACTGCAATATTGCAGTTTGGCCCAGGGGGTGCAGGCTGCGGCTGCGCACCCCCCTGTATTTTTTTTTTTAATTCTTATTTTTTTTGTCGGGGCCAGGGGTGTCGACCCCCGGCCCCCGGGACCCCCGCCGGGGCCCCGGGGTCGGGGCTCGACAGCCCTGGTTAACGACTTCTTGTGGAGGTTCCTCCTCCCTTTCTTCTTCTGGTAATTCGGGGTTCTCGTCTATCTCTACCCGTAGCCGAGTCAACAGTTGCCTAAGCCCTTTAAGCAACCTAGGGCTGGCCTGCAACATCGTCTGAAATGACACCGACACCATGGTTCCTAGCAGCTTGCCAAGGGTGTCGTCGATCTCAGGCATGGATAAGATCGGGATTTGGTACCTAAGCTTCTTCTTGGCAGCGGTAACTTTGTCTGTAGGCTCCTCTTCCCTAGGTTTCTCATAAACCTTTTCCGGTTCCTCGGCCTCAGGCTCTGCCTCAGGTTCCGAACTTCCAGCAACCTCCTCCATTACAGCGTCACGCATAATCCTTCTCCCAGCCGTCCCTAGCTGAGTAGTAGCGTTTACCGTATCTCGTCCGTCGTTTTCCAGAATGAAGTTGACCTGCGGCCCGCGCCCCTGGAGTTGATCCCAGATGATCTCGCCCACCGGTTTGGCTTCTACGACCGTTATTTCTAACCCGTTGAGCATGATAATGGCTCGCCGCATCCCTCCTGGCGAGTTCCAGTTCACCCGTTCTCCTTGTCGTCCAAATATCTCCCCCTTTAATGACCTGGTACACCTTCTTTTCAGAATATCATGGTTGAGCTTTGGGCACGCGCGCACATAATGTCATATCGCGGTACAGTACTTGCATTGCTCGTTAGCAGGATCTCTCCGTCCGAATCCCCGGTTGGCTACACCTGGTGGAACCACAGCTTCCTGGGGAGGGAGGGCGGGTCAGGATACTTGCGCCTGCATAACCAGTACCGCGCCTTCCATCTTTTTGAATTTTATTGTCGACCCCGTGCACCCGCTCATGTAGACTTTCAATCCCCTTCTTTACCTTGTCGCCCGTCCTACCGTTCAGATCTATGATCTCCCCTTCCTTGAGCAAGGCCAACGTTTCTGTTACTACCGTTTTCTTGGCCAGATCCGTTACCGTGCTAAAATCAACATCCCCCGTGTTTACGAACTTGCTCGTCTGTTGGTAGGCTGACAGGATCTTGTCTTTGTCGAACTCGGAGAACTGCCTGAGGAAATATTTGCTCATTATCCGGTCCGTGACCCCGGGGATCCTTTGTGCTACTAGAGTAAATTCCCGTAGGAAATCATTGTACGTTGCGAAGTTCTTCCTCTGAATTGCCGCTAGGTCGGCCTCCGTTGCCATTTTCTCTGCCGCTAGGTACTTCCTCATCATCACATCCCGGGTCTCCTTCCAAGACCGACTTGCGACTACAATGACCATTATGTCCCGTCCTTGGCTTAACGACACCTGCTGTCCTAGATGGTCCATATTTTCCTCCTCGGTCCACTTTAGTAACGCAGCTAGGTTCTTGTAGTCGATCAGGAACTCCGTGATGTTTGCTCCATCGAAAGTCAGCTTTTTCTTTGCGTCTGCCAGATAGCCTTGGTTCTTGTTCAGTGCTCGTGTAAGGGATGATACTATCTTCCTAAGGCCGCCTTCGGAGCTACTGGCCTCGCCTGCCGTGCTGGTATCTGGCCCTTCCTTGCTGGCTTTCTGCCCCCCCCTAGTCTTTGCCGTTCCTTCCGAGTCGAACCATCCCAACACCCTTTCTCTGAGGCTTCAGAGCCCTTCGCATCCTCGCGATGCCGCTGGCGAGGTCGGCAGACGGCTAGCCCTACTGTCTGTGGCTAAGGGGTTTGTAGCCTTCTCTGCCTCCATTCCCGGAGAGTTTTCTCTTTCTTTCCTTCTTTTTCTCGGCTTTCCCCCACGGTCACTACCCTTGTCCCCTTGCCCAGTTCCGCCCCGGCTGGTTTTCCGTTCGTCCCACGGTACCTCCTGCAGAGGGTCTTCCTCGTTCCCAATCATCATTGCCTCAATTAACCTTGCCTTGTATTCCGCGGTCCTTTTCTCTATTTCTGCTAGTTTGCGCCTCGCGTCCGTGACCCTTACTTTTTTAGACACAGCTCCCTCCGAGTTCCCGGGGCTCCCCCTATCCTTATTCCTGCCCTCCTTGTTTTCCTGGGTCCCCTGTCTGCTTCCCCCGACTTTTCTGGAACTTTCTCCTGAGGACATTTCCTTCCGGTTCCCTCTGGTGCCATCCGGATTTGTTGACTCCCTGTCCTTCTGCCCTTCCTTGCTTTGCTCAACACTGCCTCCTAAGCCTGGTCCTCCCTCGCTTTCATGGTTACCTGTCTCATCCTCCTTTGCCATACTTGCCTACTTCTGCATGACCAAAGGATTCCCCAGAACAAACGTAGTGCGAGGCATTTAGGTTCCCTAGGTTTCAATCCTGTTGGTTTATCCTTTTACTTGGCAACTAGGTTTTTCCCCATGCCTATTTTCTGATGGCTTCCTTAATACGGAGCCGCGTCCGGCTCTGCTGCCTCACCGAGCTAAGGGCGTGACTTAGCTTCCCTTATCACCGGCTTGTTTAAAACGCCCTTATTCCGTTGGTCGGTGCATAGGGGTCCGGGTTGGGCAACCCGCTAGGAAACGTTTTCCTGCGGTGTTCCATGTCAGGCGGTTATTGATCATCCGAGTCCGAGGCCCCTCCCTTTCCTATTTCTGTCGGTGGGCCTTCGAACGTAGCGAACTGTGCATGATTTGCCCTACTGGCTCGCCTGCGGGGGCTAGTCCCGTTCTCGCCTTTGTGGCCCTTCCGGTTCGGTAGGCTCCTCGAATAGTTGAGCCACCCCCGTTAGATAATTCTCCCCTATCTCGATTTCCCTTTGGATTATCCGTTCACACCCCGTCCAGTCCAGCCAAGGCGCACAAAACATCAGGATGTGGATGACTTCTAGTAATTCGTGGGCCCTGTTTCCCCAGAACGACCCATGTTGCACAGCGATATCATAGAACATCCTGATAGTTGGAGAGGGAAAGTGGTCCGCCCACATTATTGCCAAGTCTGCAAGCTCTCGCGCCCTTGCGAGGCTCCCGAAGACACGGTCTATCATAAAACGGGGAACCCAGCACCTCAGCGGTGTGGTGAGTGCTCAAAATTCCCGCCATCCCCCCATTTCCACCCGGGTAAGTAAGCCCATGTTTCTTCTACCCCTGACTAATTGTCCTATCCGGGGCAACGTCCGGGCGGCCCTTCGAAAGACCGGTGCCAGCTCGTGACCTTGTGCTATCTCTACCCCCAATGAGTGCTAGCCGATCTCAGGCAGATACATGGTCCCGATAACTTCCAGATTGGAAAACAGATCGTCTTTGGGTCCTCGATCGAGTCTCATTCCTGTCCACCGACATTCTACCAACATGAAGGGGGCGTCCCTTCCCAAAGTCACGGTCCGCCATTCTATGTCGAACCCCCGATAGGTAAAACTTGATGGGAGGGATACTTCCCATCGTCCACCGTTGCTCGAGGGCGGTCCGAGGTACCGGGGCTAGCGTTCCACTCACTCACGTCTTGCTGCCATCGTTACCTTGGTGATTCCCTGCATAGTCCACATAGAAAGGGTTACAGCCAATCTTCAGAATCCGCCCACCTACTGCCTCCTTTGCCCTTCGTGTTTTCATTCCTCTTTTCTAGTCCCAACTATCCCTCTATATCCCCGGGAGCAGTAGCCCCCTCTGGCTGTTCGTAGAGCCGGTAGAGATCATCTATGTAGATCGCGCCCCGACCTACCTCTCGCCGGATGACTCTCCACATGGTCTCATCATTTATTTGTGGGACTCCTGGCCTAGTATTTACCGCTGCTCGTAGAATGCAAAGCACCTCGCGCCCCTGTTTGTCCCCGAAAGGCCCCATCTCTAGGAAGGCCCGATAGTATTCTCGATACATTAATGCTTCGTCAAAATTTAGCCTAGTTACGACAGTCACCGCCTGCTCCACTCGTTCCATGCCTCGCATTCGTCTTAGCAGGAAGGGTGGTAGACTCATCCGTATGACCTCATTTGGCAGCTCAAAAACCCCTGCCGCGGCGACTTTTACCTCAGCCGTCACGTCATCTCGTTCTGGATCTGCAAACTCAAACCCCTCCCGCCAGGTTATTTGCCATGCCCCTTCGAACATTCGCATGGGATCATCCCCGGAGGCCAAGGCAATCCCAAAGGTCCGCCACCCTTCTTCCGACAGGTGTAAGGATCCCATCGCATGCACTTGCCCTGGGAGGTCCAAATTTACGCCCCCGAATTCCCCTCTCGTACGCCACTCCAGTTCTATTACTAGGTACACCGTATCTTCCACCAATTCTACCCCCACCCAGTCCATTACCGGGTTACTCACCACGTTTCTTGATGGCAGGCTTATTTCGACCCTGTCTCCCGATACCCTTGGTGGTCGGATCCAGCGAGGCCTATCTTCCCAGAACGTCATTCGTCGGACCATCTCATAATGCCTCCTTTCCCGCTTCCTTAGTCTGCTTGCTGCACCCACCAAGATTCCGCGTTTTTCATGTTTTAGCCTTTCAGTACCCCCTTCCTATCGTACACTGGTTCCCGCCACTATCCCGTTTCCATGCCTGCCCTTATTTCGGCCTCCTCCCTGCTGACTAATGTACATCCCCCTTTCTTATGCTACATCCTAATTCACATGCATCCTCCATACTCTGTTCTTCCTATGGCGCTCGAACTTTGAGTCCCTTTAATCAAACCATCGCATCTCAAACAACATAAAGACATCGTTTACATAGGATGTCGCGGCCGCCGCCTCCCGGCTAACTATGGCATCCCAAGCTTCCGCGCTTACCTCTAGGCGGTCGTATTTACCTATCCTCAGGATGGTGATAACCTCACCGGCTTTATCCCCGTAGAAGGTCCCATATTTCAAGAAGAACCTATAGAACTCCTCGGTCAGCCAGGCACATTCTATGTGTACTTTCCTCATGGAGTCGGCTACGTCCGCTATGTGCTCAAAAACCCCGAACCAGTCGACCACGAACTCGGGCACCCAAGCTGTTATGCGCAGGCAGGGAGGCCTGAGTTCTTTCCACCCTCCCATCACAACTTTGCTGCTAACTTCGTCCCACCCCTCGTTGGCGAACCTCTTGCCTCCTTTTCGGGTTCGCGCCTCTGCATCCCCTACAAGCCACATTGGATCTTGTCCCATTGCTAACATAGTGCAAAACAGGTGTCACCCGTCCTCGGAGAAGACAATTGTTCCGACTGATTCCACTTTGCCCTTTAACCACCATTTCGTCAAAACGGACATATTATATTTTTTGAACGAAATCAAAACTGACTTTTTTTGCCAAAATCCGGTCGGAATTTTTTGCTCCTGGGGGTCCAGCGTTCCCAAAACGCCGGACCCCCCTGGTCTGTGGTTGAGACCAGATAATTTTTTTTATTTTTTTTTTTGTATCTGGTCTCAACCATAGACCAGGGGGGTCCAGTATTTTGGGAACGCCGGACCCCCATGAGCAAAAAATTCCGACCGGATTTTGGCAAAAAAAGTCAGTTTTGATTTCGTTCAAAAAATATAATATGTCCGTTTTGATGAAATGGCTGTTACTTTGCTAAATCGTCCCAACCTTCCTCTTCCCTTATCGGGTTCCAAATCCGTTCTATCCATACATACGATAATTCCCGGGCAACCTCAAACCCAACCCAGTCACACGTGGTCCCTCTCTATTCGTTTTCCATTGGTATAGGCATCTCTACCCCCCCTCTGAGTCGTCTTGGTTCCCATCCCTTGAAGATGTATTCCATCATCATCTCTTCTCTAGTCATCCTTTTCCCTTCCTGCACAATACCAGGCCACCCGTTTTTTTCCCAACGTCAAGCCCCCCTCCTCAGAAGTCCCAATCCTCTATCTCCTCATCCTCGTCCCCATCATTGAAGTCGTCCTCTTCGTCGTAGAACAACTCTTTCACCCCCTCCAGAAATGTCTCCCCTATTGCCACATTTCTATACACTATCCCCCAATGTACAGGGCTAGAGACATAAATATTGTGCATGCTAAGGCAGGTTAGTATCTCGGCCAGTTCGTCCGCCCAGTTCCTCTCAAACGGCCTCATTTCTACTAACAACCGAAAGAAATTCTGCCTAGCGCATTGGTATAGTCCAAGGTTCGTCATGGACTGACATATCCTTACCAGCCTGCTCCGGGTTCCAAACACCGCATCCACTAGGAAGGGGGGCAGCACGCATCGCATGGTTCTGACGGGCCGCCTTATGTTTCCTCTATCCCCAAGTTCCACCCGCACATCTACCCTTTCCATTTCCATCTCCCTTCGCTGACACGCGACCCACACAACCTCCGCTTCAGCCTTCCTAAACAGCTCGTCCGGCGCATTCCCGAGTGCCAACTCTACGACCATAGCATTCTCTCCATCTTGCGGCAAATAGACCCACCCTCAAGCTTCTACTGTTCTCCGGAACTCCAAATCCATTAAACTTGGCGACAACCTTGTCAAGCTAACATTCGGCCATACCGTCTCTATCCATAGGAACGCGTCCTCCCCTTCCAGCATTATGGTTTGATATGCTGGTTCAAGGTTTGTCAACGCCCCATCTTCCGGGAGGACAACCGACACCCCATCCTTTACGTCTACTGGCATCTAAGTCGGGGGAGACAACCATCGCGCCATCTTGTTTCCAGCACCCGACCCCTGTTTTCATGAAAGAGTACCAACCGATTCTTCTGGTCAGGTCAACCCTTTTTTCTAAATGAGGATTATTTTAGACCCCCCATTAAGGTCTCCCTAATTTACCTCCCCCTTTTCCTAAGTACCCCCTTTCCATAATTCCCTCGGCCGGCCATCCATTTCCCCACATTCCTTTTCTTGGTTTGATTCCATCTAACATCTATCCTTCTTCCTTCCGATCATCTCTCACTCGTGTGGACTTAGAAGGGAGGGGGAATAGGCTTAGAAGAATGTCCGTCCAACAATCCAAGCTCAATCAATCTTTACGGGGGAGGGAACACATAAAAAAAATCAGACAATCTCACATACGGGCTGGTCATCTCCTCACCGGTCATCCCAATATGGTCTCTCCGCGGGTACTATCAGTAGAGTTTTATCCCATACCTCAAACGCAGCTCAACCGTCGCGAGCGCGGTACCTAGGTCTCGGCAAGGCATTCGCCCTTTCCTCCTTACCCAGAATACCCCATCCCGTCTTGCTGCTTTGCACATCCATACCGACACCGAGGGTTACCTCGAGTGCCTAAATACAGGGACAAAGTCAACCGTCTGGACATTCACTTCCATCGGTCCGACAAGAATCAGCCTTTCCCAAAACCATGCTACGAGAGGCTACTAATCGCCTTCGAGGCTCCGTCTTTGTCCGCATGCAGTGGTACTCCCTCCACCAGCCAACAGACTAAGCCCCGCCTGAGGAGATTTCACACCCCGTCCAGCAGATCATCGAGCCGAGGCTTGTCACCACTCGAACGAGAATGCTACTAATCAACCGACGTGATAA